TCTCTCTCTCTCCCTCTCTCGCCCTCTCTCTCTCTCCCTCTCTCTCTCTCTCTCTCTCTCTCTCTCTCTCTCTCTCTCTCACACACACACACACACACACACACACACACACGCACACATTGGGATCCATCTTTATTTCATCTCAGTCTCCTCTGACTTGGGGTCACCCTAACCTGAGGCTGTCTTTTGGCTCTCTTCTCTTTCCTTAAGTTCCTTTTTTTCATTCTTTCTGGCCCTCTAGTCTGTATTTTCCCTTCATATCATCTGCTCCTCCCAAGAGGCAGCATTTCTTGGCTTCTTCGAATAGATTTTAAAGGCTAGCCCAGAGCTGCCCCCTAGTGCGTCTGCTTAAGGCCTTGAGAGTCTGATAGCTTTGCAAGAGAGAATGTACATCTGTTCTCTGAGCAGCACTGCATCCCCAGGAACTCCATGTGGACAGAGCACCCTGTGAGCATCAGGGTAGATGCAAAATAGCTCTACTCACTCAGAAGGACTTCAAGCTGAGAGCTCAAAATCAGATTTTGTCAAAAACTGGAAGCTACTACAGTAAGGCCGAGTGCCCAGAGAGCTTGATTCTCAGCGGGAATCCTAACCAGACCTCTGGAAGAAAGGAAGAAAACTAACCAAGAGAGACGCAAGAAGGAAATACTTTAGTGACTGGTCTTATGACACTTAGCTAAAATGGGTCACAGAAGTCCTGGTGTCTTGTTCTGTGATGAGGAGAAAAGAAAGGAAGAGTTAACAACTACAAACTCAGAGAGTATTTAAATGAGAAAGCCAAGTTTCTAACTGCTCCAACTTGCTTTTTCCTTGGCATTTCGCTCCTCAAATTTTGGTTGTAAATTGTTTAGTTGCTTTTATTTAATCCTATTAATTTTAGCATTTCATATTGGTCTCACCTTCTACACATTTCTAAATTGTATAAATTTTGTTCTTTCCATGTGAACTCAAAATTAGTGGGTAGAGAAAATATCTCTTGAGTACATTATACAGGCAACACATGATTTTAAAAATTGTAGTTATTAAGTGATGACAGAAAAGTAATGTGTCATAATTGCCTAAGACCACAAGCAGGATCAGAGATCTGCTAGGATTCACGGTATTCAGCATATCATCATACTCCTGGCTATGACTTCTTACAGGAAGGGCTACAAAAAGTCAGCCAAGGGAAAAAATGCGTGAGGTGAGGCCAGAGGAAGCCAGGTGCAAGCTTGCAAGAGTCCTCTCCAAGTGGAGCGGTGGTCAGTACACTTCATTCCGCCAGCAACAAAATTTGACAACTCTTTTTTGAGTTTCAGTTTTCAAAAGTTCTGTAAGTATAGTGCGAGTACCCAAGATGGGTGTAGTTTGCAGATTTAACTTGAGATAATATATGTAACACACTTATCACAGAGACTGGCACATTCTAAGCACTTGACCAGGGATACAAGTAGATGCTGTTAACAAGCTCTACAGCAGAAACAGCCAGATGTGCTGTCAAGATTCCCTTCTGGAACAATCTGAGAAGCAGACGCCTGCAGCACACTGGGCCTTTGAAGCAGGGTAACATCTGCTGCAGGCCCAAGAGTGCCATTTGAAACTCACAGTGGTCTCCCCAAGTGGTAGCCTACCCTGGAGACCTCCACTCAGCCCTCGCTGTCACCACTCCCAATCTCTTCCTTGGGACCTCGGTTTCTTTCCACTACCTCCAGGGGTGTGGGGACTGTGAAAGTTTCCTTGCGTCCTTTCCTCTGAACACGAATAGTGTAGCCACTGAAGCAGAACAATGCAACTGAAATAGGAAGACGCATGAACTCATTTTTGCTTGTTTCGCCATTCACATGAGCTTAAAAAATCCTTCCTCTGAACTTTATTATGCCTCTCTGTAAAGCAGAATAATTGAACATATCTACTCTCTGCCATTTTGCTTGACGTTTGTCAAGGAAACCTCAAATAGTAGCGACCAAGTTGCTTTGGAAATTGTGAAACACAATATGGAAAACTCTCAAGGACTGGTAATTTTATCCAGGATGCTCTACAGACTACCATGTCTGGTTGTTAGTGGAAAGAAAGTAAAAGAAGCCTGTGACTTATTGACAAAAGATATGTCCCGTTAGTGTATCCTGAGTACTTACTTGGATCTCACAGAACTGACCAAAATTAGATCCCTCCCAGCTTGAGGTAGAGTAACAATGAAACCATTGCATGCATACTCACCTGCAATAACATATCATTCCGTCTTTTCGTACAGTGATGCAGCTCAATTATTTGGGATTCACTTATTGCTTTGTTGTGAAGACTTTTTTTTTCATTGATTTTTCCCCCTCGGTGGTCTTCTTCAGTACTTGATTGATTTGAGGGTTAGGGCTTGGACTCCATCTCTGAAGATAGATTGGAATAATTACTGCAGCGTGCTGGCTAACCACTCTGCCATACAGTTACTGTCACTAGTATGCTCCACTAGCACTTATAGCTGTAGTAACTGTAGTTGAGTTTAATGATTTAATAACACAATTGGAGATGATAGCTTGGTTCATACTCTAGGACTCTTTATGGAACCTAAGGTCTCTGGAGCAAGTGAGAGTCTTTGAACTCATTTCTATTTGGTGCCCTTTTAAAAAGTTCTTGAGGATGCCACTATCCAGCCAATGTTGACTGTAAATCCAAAAACTAGGGAGATGGACCAAAACATACCATAGCTCAGAGGACTGCCGGGAAATGCCAGTCCTTTAGAAGCCAGAGCCTGCAAGAGGATATCTTCTCTTTCTTGGGTGCCACCATCCCCAAACATATTACGTAGCTATGCTATGGAGAAAGGAAATAATGTTGTTTTTTGTTAGGTATGTCTCGAGATATTTTTTGATAAGCTTATAAAAGCTCCTGCCTCAAAGTTTCTTTTTCCATGATACTGGCATAAGAAGAACAGGGTCATCTTCAGAACTATGATACAAAGTGTTCACAACATGAAGTAGGCATCCTTTGCCACCCTCCCCTTGTTACACTGAGCTGGGTGAGTTCTCCTACCACCCCTGGTCCCTGCACACAATTTTCTTCCTTGGGAAAGACTGTGGGGCATGAGATCAGGACAAATGACAGCTCTGCTCTGGGTTGATTTAATTTTATTTTAAAGTCAAGACAGGAACTATATACTGAGTTACTCACTCAATGTTTTGCTTTCTTCTTAATGAAGACAACCACATTTGTTTGTGAAGATGTTTGAGATTCTCACAAAAGAGCATTGTCTTAGTATTATTAGGTTTTATTAATTGTCTGCTGTACCAGCACTGTCATTGCCTAGATTGGAAACAAAACACTTTGGAAGCTAATTCAGATTTCCTCCTTTGTTTTCCACTTTAATCACAATTATAGCATGCACTAAATCAGCTGGGAAGTAAACAGTTTTTTAAATGCATTTCCTATTTAGTAACCTATAATTCTCTCTCTCTCACTCTCTCTCTCTCTCTCTCTCTTCCTCCCTCTCACTCATGCACAGCCCTATGTAAGTCATGAATAATATTCCTTCTTCCAATTATCTCTTGTGTCAGTATTTCAAATTTTGGAGTTTATTATTTGGAAAATTATATTTTACATACTATAAAGAAAAAATGTTCAGACTTTCTTTAAGTTTTAGGATTGTAATATATTATCCTCCCATTTTTATTTGATTATTTTATGTTGATCTATAAGAAAAAAATTGGAATATGAGACTTTATGCACAGTGTTTTTAACTATGTGGAAATATACTGTAAAGAATTGTTTTGCAATTACAACCCCTTATTGATTTTTGTTATACATAAAAATTACTTCTCAATCCAACTACACTTCTCTTAAAGAAATCATGTTGGCTGGATAACAAATTGCAAAATTTACAAGCAAATGCAAAACATAAAGACCTGGCAACAATCCCAAATCCAACAGGAAAACTTTTCTGTTTCTTTCAAAGAGCATATTGACAAGTTTAGAGAGAGACCCTAAGGTCTGAATGAAGCTTAATGTTTGCCAATTTCCCTTCATTGATAACTTCAGGCACAGATATATTGCTCTGATTTAATTATGTGGAAAAGATAGAAGATCCAACCCTGTCAGACAAAGAATCAGTAAGAGCTAATTTCTATAAAGAAAGCTATTGTCTCCTGACCTTCCTGGGTACTTCTACCAATTTTCAAAAAGTATATCTGACTCAACTTGTTCATTAGAAAGTACAACGATTTTTTTTCTTTTGAATCAATTAGGAGGAAACTAAGATTATTGAAGTCCCTTTCTCATTAAATGCATAATGTTAGTATAAGCTTTAAGCTTAAAATATAAGGGTTTATTGGTCTACTGTAATAGATTTTAAGCAAATAGATTGTATTTTCTGTGGTACCATATACTTTGGTTAAGAATTTATTTTGTACATAACTACCAGTTATGTGTACTACTCCATAATTCAAAAGAAGTGTTAAATCTACTAGCTCCTTAATTTTGGCCCAGTGTTACGGCTTATATCTAGATATCCCCCTGATTACAGGCTGGGCTTTTGGGAGTGGCTGGATCATGGGTGCACAATATTGGATTAGTCAGTTGGTTGGCTTATTAGCACAGTTCTGTGTATGTATGATGGATTTACTAAAGATGGAGGACCCACCACCAACCAATAGATTTACAGCTTGGATGGAATAAAAAGGGGAAAAAAAAAAAAGGAAGTCGCACTGCTTCCTGCCTTCCATGCCATGGGCTGTTTCTCCTCTGCCTTGCCTCTCTGCCGTGCTGCCGTGTCACTCTGTTATGCTGCCCTGCCAAGGAGCCAGGTGATGAGAGACTGCAACCTCTGTAGACTGGGAGCTAAAAATAAGCCACTTTCCTCCTTTAACTTGTAGGTATCGGGTATTTTGTCCTAGCAATGGGAAAGTAACTAAAACACCCAGTGAAACCCTTTCAGATCTTGAGCTTCAGAACTAGAAAAAAAGCAAATGTGTGCTGTTTGCTGATATCAAGTTTGTGGTAAGTCATTAGGATAGCCATAGAATAACATAGATGGTATCAATGAGAGCTACCATGTAGTGACAATTTGCTCTTCTACTTAGAACTGCTCTGAGTATCCTCTGTGGAGTTTTGTGGGGAAAGGCTGAGCCAGAGATGGACCACACATTCAGGGCTAGAGCGAGGCCAGCCCCAAGAACACAGAGGGCCAGAGGCGGGCCATGTAAACAAGTTGTTGGGACTAGAGCAAAACCAGCCCAGCAGGTGTCTGGCCTTGGTTCTTCTCCCTGTTATCTACAGCATGGATAGCCCTAAGAATGTTTCATTCTCATTGTTCTCAGCAAAACACTGAGACCTTTCACTTTTGGCCATATCACAAGCTCCCACACTTCACACTGTGTGTGAAGACGCAGACCATATTGGGTTGTCACCACCTCTCCACCAGAGAGGTCAGGTCCCAGCCAGTCCCAGCTTTCTTTTTAGTATGTGTCTAGCTTTTTCTTAATCTCCGGTTGCCCTCTCAGGATCCTGCCAGCTGTGTGGGTCAAAGCAGAGATATCTAATTTTATATTCATAAAGCACTATAAGATAGGTATCAAAATTATTCTCATTATATAGATAAGTAAATTGAGACTCAGAGAAGAGCTGGAATTATACCCATTTTTTTCCAGTTCCAAATCTCATTCCCTGAAACTGTAGTGGAAGACACATGCACAAGATGCCAACTTTCCAGGAAGGAACCTCTGCTGCTCCCAATGGTGCCTGCACTATTAAAACTCAGTTGTGCTATTAGCAAATCTGCTGATTTCAGACACCGCCGAGAGAAGTAATCAATTATTCATTTCTCAAGCATATTCTGAGTACGCAACAATCGTATACCATCTCTGCACTGATATAACTTACGGTCCTGCGAGGAAAACAGACAAGCAAATTCAAAGTTGAGCTTTACAAGGATAATCTGAGGGATACGATGGGACATTACAAGAAGAGTGAAAAGAAGGCGGCTCGTGGTGGTGATGCTGGTCATGCAGGGTTGGGGATGGGCCTCAGGAAAGGGTTCCTGAAGTGCTTGTTGACACTTGAGCTAAGTCTTGAAGGAAAAATAGGAAGCTCTCCAGATCAACGAAAGTTGAAGGGCCTCCAGACAAAGAACAGCGTGCTCTGAGGCCCTGTAGACTACCGAACCCGGAGCAAACTGCCCGTCGCTTGTTTTGACACTAAAGTCTGTATTTCATAAGGCAGGAGGGCACAACAGGAAGGGAAATCATGTGAGAAGCTGGGGAGGAGACCAGCCAGGTCACAGAGATCCTTGAGGCCTTAAATTTCACCGTATGATTTTCCTCAGATTCCTGTCTGTAACTCGGTCCAATCTGTTCTCTCCCTCCTTTACCTCAACCATGAGCTTTGTTTATTTTTTATTATTTTTATTTCTACATTTTATTTTTGAAGAGGCATAAAGGGATTTATTAGGTGGAATTTTAAAGTACACATTCAAAGAAATAGCATGCTGGGCCTCAGGAGAGAGGAATATTGTAATCTGTACCTGGAAATATTTATGTGCTTTTGGCTGTGGAAATCTGTGCAAATTGTGAATACGTAGAAAGTTTGAGCTGGTTAACACAAGAGAGGGCATAACCCACAGATGAGTAGAAAGACGTGGTTCCTTTTGGAAAAAAATGGCACATTTTGTAGGAGAAAACAAGGGACCCAGTCTTCTGTTATTTAGATGAGTGACCCAAGGTATTTTTCCTAAAAATGTTCTTTTATTCGTTGAAATCTTTGAATCTATTTCTGTGAAGGTCAAGTTTCTGCCCTTTGCCTCATCAACGAAGCTCATTTATAGACTGATAGTGCCCTTAAGGGATAGTGGGTGCAGGGAGGCAGGAAGAAAAGAAGCATAAACAAGCCCAGGGAGGAGAGATGAGGAAAACTTTGGGTGACCTTGATTGTATCCTGAAGTTGCAGTCTTCCTAAAAATCCAGTTGCAAATTATGGTTTTCATTGTCTTCATCCTACTTGCTTTATTTCTTCATTCCTCTTTCCTCCCCCCACCCCGTCCTGATTCCTTATTCTTTTTTTTTTTGTGGCTTGCATTTAATAGCTTTATTGATGAATAATTTGTATATCATATGCTTCACCCTTTGAAAATGTATAGTTCAAAGATTTTTAGTGCATTCTACAATTGTACAATCATTCTCATGGCTGTTATGAAATATTTTCTTCATCCCCCAAGGGTTTCCTTCTGTAAATTTTTCATTTGTAAGTATATGTTTGCAGGATATAATGATTACAGTCATGGGGGGGATTGGTACATGCACATAGCACATCTTAATTTTTCTTATGTCCCTTTCCCCTCTTCTGTCTCCTCTCCCTCCATTTCTTATTGTTCATAAGGAATACTGGGGGGCCAAAGGCTTCTGTATGAGTCCACCTTCTTCCTCTCAACTTTAAGTGTTAACTGTGTTTAAGACTCAGTGCTGAGTTCCTCCTTTTTAAAACACTTTATTTTCTCATTCTTCAGACTTACAAGCTCTTCTGCCATTGCTTTTATAACATAACATTGAATCTTTATCATAATCCTTATTCCAGTTCATAATCTTCCACAGATCAATAATGACTAACATTTCCACCCCTACATTTATTCCCCACCCGTTCCCAAGAGACTGTAAGCTCATGACAACAGACTTTTGTTTTTACTCAGCACTTTCTAAGATTATGTTTGGTTTAGTGTATATACTTGGTAATTGTGATTTATTGAATGAATAAATGAAATGTATCCGAATGGAAGACAACCACTGAGGCATCTCAATTTGATCAGATTTTCATGGGTATGGTATGGAAAATAAATGAAAGAAAGAAAGAAAACTGGAGGGAATTGGAAAGCAATCGTACTAACTCGGGTAGTACAAGACCGGAACTAAGGAAGCATCTGTGGACTGGAAGAAAGAAGACATATTTGAGAAACACTGATGAAGTTCATAGAACTTAATGAGCAAATGAATGTGTGAATCAAGGGAGAGAAGACAAGAGACGTATGTACATTTATGGCTTAGATGACTGGCTATGTTGTGAAATTAAAGAACATAGGAAACTATATGGGCAAAGGAGCTGGGCATAGATTAGACGTAATGGATTTAGATTTAGATATGTTAAGTTTGAAATATTTATAGTTTTACTAGATCTGTCGAGACCTTTCTTAAGCATTGGAGAACATTTCTGAGGACTTATAATAAACTTTAGGGCCCAAGTAAAAGCAAGGGATGGTGTAGTGTTAGTTAGAAATGGAACAGTTACAGATGTAATCCAATTTGTTGGAGAACAAAAGTGAACTAAAGCTTCTAAAATTGTCTGGAATACATTCCAGTCTGAATTTGTTCCACAGTTGGAAGTCTGTAAATAAAAGTATACCATGTGGTTGAATGTGCATTATAGTCTATTATTACCTCTCTTATATTAATCCTTCCTGTATAGACTTGAAAATTGTATACTGTAACTTAAATTCTACTCTCCTATACCTGTGAAAGTAAAATTTCAAATTCGTGTAGAAATTTCTACTCAGACCTATATTTAACTTTACAACTATTTCAAGCAGTTGTCACTCAGGGAAGTCTTTCTTCCTCCTGCCTCCTTGGGGTGTCCCAGCTTCACAAATGCACTTAATCTTGGGTGCTCTCAAAGCACTTTGGTGGAACTACCCAAGTGATTTAGATTTCAGTGGAAACAGAAAGTAATCTATCTTTTCACTTTCCTCTCTTCCCTGGTCTTCTGCCTCAAAAGTCTGTGCTAGAGTCCACAGAGTCCTCCAATTATAGTAGAGTCTTTGAACTTGAAGTGGGAATGGGAGTTGCATTGCAACCTGTGTCACTCAAGGGAACAGTGAGCTGAATAGGTGGCCTGATTATCACAGAAAGCTCTATTTTTATACTCTGTTTTGCTGAAGGTGTTCCCTTCTATTTGGTTTACACAGCAAATTACATGAACAAATTATATCTGTGCAATGTAATCTACTAGGTAGCTTTGGGGAGGGGTACAATGATGATTATGGTCTTTCCTAATTACTATAACAGGATGCTTTGCCCACTTCTATAGTTGAATACATTCTCCTATGGCCTGGTTTCTTTCTACAGATACTGTTCAAGTATATATCTTTGTAACTTTAGAAATCAGGGCTTAAGATACACAGATCCCCTTACACACTGTGCATGAAAAGGCAAAGTCAGCATCTCTTAGGGACCCTGGGACAAATTCCCTTGTACTGGCAGACAGTCATCTAAATACTGTAAAACTAATTACTTTCCTGAAGTATTGATGAAATGGAATAAAAACTATGACTTCAGCCCCACAAAGATCTCTGTTCTTTTTACTCAGAACTTTACATTTCGCTGCATTGCCCCCAACAAAGTATATAATTCTACAATTTTTAATTTCCTGTAACAATTTGTTCATCCAAAATAAATGAAAATTTGTGTGTCAGTGTTGCTATTAGAGAGACAATTCTAGGAGAGTGCAGAGTGAATCCTAAGTCATTCACCTGTCTCTGACAAGATAATGGGTTAGTGTCATCAGTGCTAATCAGTCATGAAGAAGTCATAGCTCGGGAGCACATCTTGTGTCCCTTCGGAGTGCACAGCTTTATGAGAACCCTCCAGCTACTTCTCAGGGGGTTGGAGGTCAATATCTGCCCCAATATATAAAAGAGGAAAGGATGCTATTCAATGTAAAACTGGAACCAAAGGGCTAATATCTTCATGTCGGATATACGCTTTATGTCAAAGTTAAAAAGGAACAGAATAACACCACGTGGTCTCTAATTCTCTTAGTAACCTAATATATTTGCTTCATGCCTTATTTAAAACCGAACCAAACCAAACCAACAGTAAATCTGACTTAGAAAGGGAAGGCATTTCTAAGAGGGCAAGTGTTTCAAAGCATGTACACATATACATCTCCTGAGATGATTTTCCTTTTCCTTCCAGAGCAAGCATAAGCCTATCTTAATCTACATGGCCACTTCCTACAGGACTCCAGTAACACATAATCCTCACCATAAGGCATTCTCCAAAGCTACAGTGATTTCCCATCGGAATTCTCATTGTACCCTGAATTCATCTTCACAATTACCCCAACCGCATTGTTTTCATTATATTACTTGACATGGGATGAAGAGATGTGTGACAAGTGACTGAGTCAGCCTTATCCAACACACTTTGAAGAGGCCAAGGTATTTGGACAGTTGATACTGGGCAAGGATGGGGGGGCACCTGTGTCCATAAACTCAACATTATTCCTTGCTAGCTCAAATTATAGAATATTTCTGAGCTTCAAATTTCAAGATACCATCACTTTCAGTACAAGTGGGAACCAATAGACCTAAATCTACCAAAAGCTGTAGGAGAAGAAGATGAAATAAAGCCTGCCTCCACAAGCATGCAGAGCATTTGTGGGATAACTGTGATTATTTTCCATCACTTACATAGCACGATGTCTTAGCTACTTGCTCTCCAATGGGCCTTGAAGCTCCCTTATCCATGGCCCCGCTCTGTGTGATGTGGTCTCCCCCAGGTCAAATTATCTGTCACAGGAAGACTTCTTTGCTCTTTATGGCAGCACTTGCATACTATTTTCATTTCCATGGAAACATCTCCACTCACTCAGAACCGCCTCTGTCCTCTGAAAACAGAGATATTTATCTTTCAAACAGTGGGATGTGCATGACATAAGACAGATCGGAAAGCTTTGCGTGAAATCCTCAACCTGGAGGATTTCTCTTTAAAGGAATTTATGATGGCCTGCCTTCAGGTTATTTATTTATATTTTGCTCCATGACCACTTTTCCAGTAATGAGTTTAAATATAAGCAACATAAACCCATCTGTAAATAAAATTATATACTAGCTTCATGACAAAAGATAATTACATTATAATCAAACTGTCAGCTTTGAAGATAGTAGGAGAAGCAGCACACTATAAACTGACATGGAAAGCATATAAATTTTTTTTTAATATCTTACACGGGGCCTAGGAGCCCCATAATATCCCAGTGTATTATGCCAGAATTTGTAACTGGAAAATTTCTGGTATTTCTGAGAGTAATGCTACTAACAACTTAAAGGACTAAGGGCTTAGAGCTCAGATTTACTTTAATAAACACCGGTGGAAAGGTGTCTAGTTTAGATTATGAGTCTTATTAATTTCACTTTTTAAAATTTATTGTTATCCTCAGGCTATTATTTTACTCTGTGGAATGGCAAAGCCTGGCCCTGGGACTTTCTGACGTGTTGGACACGATGTGGAGAGTTAGATGATGCTGCAAAGGAAACGATCACTGAGGTTATTTTCCACCACTCTGAACTCAGCTTCCTCTGTGACAGTGACTCAGATCCCTGGCTTGTCACGGCTGGGAGGAACTTTTTCTCTTTCTTGAGCTCAAGATAGTTTCTGTGATAAAAGATCACGGTCTACCTCCACCCTCCACCCTGTCTAACCTTCAGGAAAGGGGAAGGGCAATAACGGAGGGAAGAACAAGGCAGGGACTGGCTTGTCAGAAAAGCCGGTCTGAACACTCATCCCCTAGCCTTGCTTCTGTCACAATGGAGAACCCATTACATCAGAGCAAATCTGCTGCACAGGAAGCTCCAGGAGAGCATGCTTATTCCCCGGTGAAACCCAAGCAAGACCGGCAGTAGTTTGCTACTTAAGTGGCGATCCTCAGCCCAGCACTATCAGCATTATCATCTTGGAGCTTGTTAGAGATTCAGAATGTGAACCTAGTGCAACATCTCCCCAACTCAGAATCCGCATTTTAGCAAAATCATCAGGCCATTTATGTGCATATAAAATACTGAGATCCACTGTAGTCAATGGGTTCAAACTACTGGTTGGTGTGATTTAGCAAGATCAAAGCTAAAGTAGATCAAGGATTGGGTACACATGGGATGTGTTGCTGGTTATGGGCCTAGTCTTTGTACATGGGCCTGTGCTCTGAATTTCCCTCATCCAGAGTCCTATGCAGAAGCCCAGACCCTTTGCTAGGGTCTGAGCTGCCTAATTCCTATCCCCATCATTAGCGGCATATATAGGCCTATAGAAGGCTGGGCCTTGTCTCGGGTTCCTGCTGTGGTTCTTCGCTCAATAACTAGGTGAGCAGAAACCAAGGCTGCCATTAATGTGACCATTGCTACCTTCTACTATTGGCTTTTCTATTTCATGACCTTCTTCCCACGGGATACCTGATGATTCATGCTAAAACTGACTTCATATTACTCATACTGCACAAGAAGTATTAGGAAGGGTACCGCTTTTGGTCATTTCTAGGTTAATGGCCATGTCAGCACCCTCTGTACATGATAGCATAATCCTTGTTTTCTTAATTTTTCCTGGAGCCCAGACCAGATAAAATACCAGCAGGACTCACAATTATATTCAGTTAAATTTTGGCCACTAACCATGGAGAGGTAACCCTCTTCAAGTGAAAGCCTGCAGCAGGCTGGTATATACTTACTCTATTCTCTCTTGGCCAGCAAACAGGGTGGAAGACCTACCCCAGACTTGGGTACCACTGACCAACAGGCACGTAGTCTATGTGGAATGAAAAAGGCAAAGAAGTAAAAGAAAAAGAAATGGCTCCATTTGCAGAGTGGGGGCTCCTTCCTCACCGTTACCTTTGGATGTTGGTCTCCAGTTTCTTCATCCTGCTAATGTCTTCCAGCATGGACTGGCACTGCTGACTCCAGAGTGAGCTTTCAGGCTTTCAATTTTCTACTGCCACCGTGTCTTCCAGCCCTCCAACACACAAAAGGTATTTTAGATTCTTCTGCCTCTGACTCTTCAGTCTTCCTTTGTGAATTTTTGGCTTCTGATTCATTCTGTTCCTCTAGAGAAACCCAACTAATATACAGACCACAATCCCTTAAACTTAGGACTGATTCCACAAGGAAACCTCTTTCCCAGAAGGAAAATTCCCTGAACACTTGATCTCTCCATGTTTGCTACATAGCACCGATGGGTCTGATTTGTACTCTGCTGAAAGGGGCAATCTAACAAGTTAGTGTGCTACAGAAACCTTTCCTTAGGGTGGCTTCATACGTGAACCCTGAGCATGAAATTTCAGGGGATAGATTAGGCAAAAAGTACAGATCAAACATATTTGCCCTTCTCCAGAGAAGATACCAGAATTCAAATGCTCTCTGCATTACTATGGGTGACAAGAAACATTGCTGGGAGGCAGTATCTTAATTGCAAAGAAACTGGTTGGTTTGCATCAGTCCCTCCCCGTCCCTTAGTAACCTGCACTAGGACATGATTGATGATGAAAAATAAATTGGAATAAGTAAAAGCAGAAGGAAGGAGGCTTCCGTTTGGTGAAGCAAGAAAGTAAAATCTGAAAGCAAAATCTGAAAGCAAATCACTTAGACTGAAGTCCAAAGAAAGACACAGTGACTAATCACACACACACACACACACACACACACACACACACACACATGCATACACACACATACATGCATTCACATGCATACACACAGGCATACAAAGCCCTGTCTGCAGAAATTGTTTATATATTATCCTCATGCCTCAGAATTATGAAACACTCCATTTATTTATAGACAGGAGCCTTAGGAGCAGCCCCAGTGCCCCATCCGGATTTCTGCTCTGTTTGACATTCCTGTACCTTAGGAATACTTGGAATGATAGTCATAGTAAACAATGTATACTGAGAACTTAAACTATTGCAGGCTTTGTACTGAATACTGCCTGAGTGTTCAGTACCTGACAACAGCTGAAGTTTCAGAGTTCACAGTCTTAACTACTGATTGGTACATCTAGCCTGGTTAGGCTACTTTAGAACATATTAAGATTTTGTTGGGATCATGGTTTTAGGACAGTTGTAGGGGGCACTTCAGGGAGTGTGGTATGTGCTGTGCTCTGAATGACTGAGTCCTCCAAAAGTTAGTGTGTTGCGAACCTAATCACCAAAGTGTTCAGCATTGCACAGGGTCTTGGATGCAGTTAGATTGCAGGAGTGGAGCTCTGATGAAGGAGATCAGTGCTGCTATGAACGGAACTGCAAGGAGTTGCATTTCCCCCTTTTTTACTATGTGAGGAGACAAGGAGAAGGCACTGTTTATAAGAAAGCTTACCCTTCTTAGACATCAAACCTGACATGGCCTTGATTTTTAATATTGAAGCCTCCACAACTGTGAGAAATTGCTATTACTGACAAGTTACCCAGTCTATGGCATTACCCAATCTATGCTATTACTGACCAGTTACCCGGTCCTTATAGCAGCCCTAAAGACAAAGACATATTAAGAAGATGGATCCCTGGTAAAGCATATCCTCTTTCTCCAGCTGTGCCAAGGCCAAATCCAATAAAAACCAATCAAAGAAACTTTCCGAATATCTCCATCTCTGGTTTTGTCAGAGGCAAAGCACATCTCCGTGGAGTTCAGTAACAGTCATGCTGAAACTGACCAGGTAGAATAGTGTGTAAGAGGCATGCGTCAGACCCGGGTTCAGATCCAGCACCATCACTGACTGTCTAGGGGACGATTCTTTCTCAGGGTTAGGGATCTTCATTTGTCACAAGTGACAGCCTTGTAAAATCACTGCAAAAATACTTTGTATTTAATTTTTAAAACAGCTGAAGAATTTAAGTGTATGATTATTATTAGAAAAATCTATACAATGCAGAGAATTTGCCAAATTTATGCTAATATTTTAAGTTGGGCTACTTTTAGGTGCACACACAAATCTTAGCTCTAACACTTACTGTTTATGTGAACAAAGTTACTTAACCTTCCTGAACTTCAATTTTCTCATCTTTAAAATGATAATGATGTATTCCATAAGGTTCTTGTAAGCATAGAATAAGGTAACCTATATAATTACCTGGAATATAGTGGGCAATTAAATATTATTAGAGTTATTAATAAAGTATAACTTTTATTAAGAATAAAGCATACAACAAAAGCTAATGCTCTTCACCAACAGTTTCAGATACTTGGCTAATTAGATAAGACACTTATCAAGATAATTGAATAAATTTTATTTTTGGACCTCATTAAACTCAAAGTGCCTTTCTATCTTAAAAATTGAACTTGTAAGAGATGATCCATTTGAATTGCAATTAAATAGCAGTCATCTAAATAATTAAACAATAGGGTATCTATGTATAGCAACTATTAGATAGTTTTGCTCTATCTATTTCAAAGACTTGTGGGTGCACACTATGCAAATGGATTTTCAGAGACCTTTATTAGCATAAATAGACTGTGAAATTTAAGTAACTTAGGCAGTACAGACAGTATGAGTCAGTGTTTTCAATTTTTTCTCATATGCCCTGACTTCTCTCACAGGGCTGTTTCAGGAACCCGGGAAAAATGGAGCCTTTGGAGGATGAGAAGATGTGAAAAGACATCTTGCTCAGAGCCTTTGTTGTTACCTTGGGTACTCAGACACACACGGGATTCACCTTCTCCACCCACAGAAGACATCTTTTCCTCTTCTGCACGGTACATAGAACAACAGGTTTGTCAGACCAGCTAGTGACCATTCTTTCATAAAAACGGACAAAGGGTCTCTCAACCGAATTGACTGCTATTTCCTAGTGTTTTTCAGGGCAAAGTTAAAAAGCATATCAGGACCAGAGGTTAGAATTCAAATAGCAAGGGACTCTTCTATGATAAAATAGCAAATGGAATGGGAAATGCACCTTCTCCACTAAGTTCTATGTGTTTATCCTCACCCAAAACACAATGAAACACACTGCTTGTATGTTATGAATTGATTTAAAGAAAGACTTCAAAACTTCACATTGCTACTCTGAAGGTTTTTCTTTTCATCCTCTCTAAAACCAGATGAGGAGAGACAACATAGTTATCATGACAAAGGTCATTTTGCCGAGGTTGAGGCAACAGATAGGAGAAATAAATCTCAGTCAGTGTTTCTCTCTGGTCAGCTCTCCCTCTCTATCCTGACCCCTTTTCTATACTCTGACCTTAAGTGTCCACATCCAGCTTCCACTTGCCCAGTGCTCCAGGCTCCCACCGCCTCTCCAGTCAGCTCACCTTCACTCTTCTCTAGCAATTGTACGGGCAGCCACAGCTAGAAACTTTCCTTTAGGCCTAAGTCCATCAACTTCAGTACCATAGACTTCAGTGTTTCTGTCCTTAACTGACCTTCTCTCTGGCTCTCCTCCTTCTTGATCCCTCCGGCTCTTAAGCTTAACAGCCAGTGGAGAGGAGTAGAAAGACCATGGGTTATGCTATTAGACCCACATGTGAATTCAGGCTCTATGCTTGGTCTGTGATTGTGCATTAGTCATGCAGCCTTGCTCAACCTGTTTTTTGGTTTCCATTTGTAAATAGTAATAGTGTTACCTGTATCAGAATAAACATGCAATCAACAGTAGCATCCTTGTGCTTTTCTTGTCTCTCCCCTTCCCTTGTGGCTTCCCTGAACAAAACAAACAACTCTAATTTGCTGACACTGATGTTTCCATAAACATGGAAGTGTAAATATCTCTATGAACATTCTGAATTCATTTCCTAAGGATATATGGCCAGTACTGTGATTACTGGGTCATATGGTCATTATATTTTTTAGTATTTTGAGGGATATGAAGAGTGCTGGTGGTATTTCAATGAGAATTGCATTTAATCTGTAAACTACTTAGGGTGGTATGACATTTTAACAATATTGATTTTTTCCATCCAAGGACATGAGAAATCTTTCTACTTTTTTGATTTTCTTCTGTTTCTTTGACCAGAATTAAAATTCTTTTAATTTTTATTGTAGAGATTTTTTCACCTCTGTGAATAAACTTATTCATTGGTGTTTTATTTTGTTTGTAACTATTATAAATGGTATTATTTTCTTGATTTCTTTTCCACATAATTCACTGTTATCATATAGAAATATTATTGATTTTTTTGTATTGATTTTATATCCAGTTCTTTCTTATTTTACTGCTCTGTTACCAGTCCAGTGAATGTAGGCTTTCTATACACTCTGCTATCCAAAGTTGTGGAACTTTGAGTATAAAAGACACTTTGGGGTATAAAAGACACCCTTTTGACCACCAGTTTAATTCAAGGTCAGTGGCCCAGTCTGTGGTCACTGGCCTGAGGCCAGAGCTTCAGGTCTCTGTGTGGTCTTGGAGTTCATGGTAATAGGCCTGGTACTAGATTCCAAGTCTAAAGCCTACTTTTAATTTCCTCCTAATGAAAGGCACCACTCTTGAGGGTGTATCATTACTTGGGGTTGGGCGATGAATGGGAAACTTTTTCCTTCCTGACTTTTTCAATACCTAAAATCAGGTGCTGTAATTTTTTACCTAATTTCTTAGCTCTTGGGAAGGTAATTTTATGCATGGATAGCTGTTCAATGTGATGTTTCTATGGGAAGACCATTGCTGGAAAGTCTGACTCTGTTATGTCTCTCTGTTGTGTTTTTGAACTCCTTGGGAACAGAGGCATTAACTGCTTTTTAAGCATGGACTACCTGATAACAACGTTTGCATAGCCAACAGTCTAGAAGAATTGAGACGGTCTCACATGTCAATCATGCTTCCTGTCCAATTCAAAAGACTCAAGCTCCCCAAGTTTAGAGCATCTCAATGGTAATTCCACTGAATTGCAGGCAAAGCATCTGCCAGATCCCCTCCTCACCACTTGGCACATAGAGCAAGAGGAACTGAACAAATGTACTATTCCCGCTATTTTTTTTTAACCTTGAAGAATAAAAGACACTGTCTTTTTGAAAGTCTTTGCCTCTGACTCAATCTGAGTCCTCTGTTGAGATCCATGAAACAGGCTATGTTGTTAACATGTTGGTAAAATAATATCTCAGACCTTGCCATGATCTCTTGAATTTGTACAACTCTAAAGACCATTGATATTTAGCATCATATTGGCAAGTTTATACCTTTACTACCAGATATCATTTTGATGTGGTACCTATTTGAATATTTGCTCCATCTTATTCTTTTTTATAGTATTAAAATTTAAGTTTTCTTTATATATTCTGAAAAAGAATCCTTCATCAAATATGTGACTTATAAATATTTTATCCAATCTATAGGTTTTTGCCCTGAATGGCATCTTTCAAAGAAGAGAAGTTTGTAATTTTGGTGGAGTTTGAGCCATCAGTGCTTTTCTGGGTTGTGCTTTTAATGTCATTTCTAAGAAATGTTTGCCTAATCTTCTAAGATGAAAAAATATTCTCTGGTATTTTCTCCTAAGAGACATATAGTTTTAGACCTCATATTTATGTCTATGATCAATTTTTAATTATTTATTACACATGGTCTGAGATGTAGATTGAAGGCATTTTGATGTTGTTGCTGTTGTTTGTTTTGCACAGGGATATTTAGCTGTTCCAGAGGCACTTGCTGCTAGGACTCTTTGTTGTTCACTTAATAGCCTTAGAACTTTAAAGATAATTATCAACAATATATGTGCATGTTTATATCAGTAGTAGTCATCCATTCCATTAATCTATGAATCTCAGTGTCAGGACCACATTATTTTAGTTACTTTAGGTTTAAAGTAATTCTTGAAGTCTGCAGTGTATTCCTTCAATATTGAATAAGAGTACTGAGAATGAAAAATCTTATCTTATTTCTGATCTTAGGTGAGAACCATTCAGTATTGCATCATTATTTATAAGGTTAGGCATTTTTTTAGTTTTTTTCATCTGGTTGAGAAATATTGCTTCTGTTCCTAATTTGCAGGGTATATTGTTGTTGTTGTTGTTATTATTATTACTATTATCATTATTAATCAGGACTGCATTCTGGACTTTGCCAAATATGTTTTTCATTATCTATTGAGATAATCACTATATTTTTTTCAGTTTATTAACATGAGTTGCATTAACTCATGTTCAAAATTTAAAACAATTTTGCATTCCTTGGATTAATCCTCACTTGGACATGATGCATTATTCTTTTTATATACCTTATACTAATTTTTCGATTTAAACTTTTGTGCGTAGCATGAAAAAGAGATAACGGTCTATAGTGAACTTTTCTTGTCATGGCTTTGGTTTTGACATCAGAGTCATGTGACCTTCAAATGAGCTGGTAAATACTGCTTCCTCCACAACTCTCTGTATGTTTCTGTAGAATTAGAATTACTTCTCCCTGAACCCATCGTAGAACTCATCAGTAAAGTGTTCCAAGGTACAAAATTGTTCTTTAAGTTCTTTTATTTTTCACATCTGAGAACTCTATAATGCTGCTACCTCTCGTTCCAGATATTATTTTCTTTCTTTTCTAATCATTCTGGGTGACAGTTGATTATTTTCAAATGCTTTCTCTTTTCCGTATTATTATTATATTCTTTTTCATTATTTCCATTATTCTAATTACCTTCCTGAAGTGGTAGCTGAAACATTGATTTGAAACCTTTCAACATTTCTAGAAGAGGTACTTAATGTTAAAATTTCTCTATGTTGTTTAACTTACATCCCTCACAAGTTTCCATGTGTTATTTTTATTTGTTAGTTAAAAATACTTTCTTATTTTGCTTTTGATATCTTCTTTGTTTTGTGAGTTATTTTGAATGTGCCATTTAGTTTCCAAATATTTTAAAGTTTTTTTCTAGATAATTGTCAACATATTTTTATTTAATTCCAGGTGGTTAGAGAACATACATTCTATGAACCAAATCCCTTTAAATTTATTTGGAACCCTTATGTACATAAAAATCAAGATCAAGCCTGATAAATGCTTTTCATGTAATTGAAAAGAATGTGTATGTTTGCTAGCTTGGGATGACATATTCTGTAAATGGCGATTATGCCTTGTTAATAGGTAGTACTCTGTAAGTTTCCTGTGTCCTAACTGATGTTCTAGAACTTACTCAGAAAAAGTTGATTTTTTTACTATAATTATTATATTATCTATTTTTCATTGCAATTCTATCAATTTTGGTTTCTTATATTCTGAAATTAAGGACCATTATGTCTCAATAATTAAATGATTTTGTATCATTATAAAATAATCTTGCATTCAAGTAATATTTTTTGTTCTGTTATATACTTTGTTGATCGTCATATAACTATATGGCCATTTAATATAGTTTTCCTTGCAATTATGTTTAGCATGATATATCTTTTCCATTTTTCCACTTTCAGTCTATTTCTGTCTTTATACTTATACCGGGTTTCTCTGACCTGGACTCCTGTAGCTAGTGAGGACAGTAGAAACTAGCTAAGGTGATGACAAATTCAAACTGGGTCTCTAAATATTCACCTTAGCTTAATCTTCCTCAGTGTGTTGTAGTATCTATAATTTGCTGTCATGTCTGCAATATCTAGAAGCGATCCTTTAGAATATACATTCAATAAATACCTGAAAGAATAAATTTACCCACTAGAAGAAGGGGAAACAAGTAATATAACAAGAAGAATGGACTATTTAAATTCTTCTAGAAAAGAAAATTCAGTATAAATTAGAGAGTAGAGTGGCAATAGAAAATAATGGATAGATGAAAAGAGGGATTGGTGAGTGAATAGATTGAACT